ACACCCCCCCCCAGCATCCCAAGTCATTCTGGACTGCAGATTCCACGCTGTGCCTAATGTTCTTTCACGGCTCTTACAGAAAGCTTAAAAAAGTTTCATACTGACTATTCAGTAACTATCTATGGAAAGAGCCACAGTTGTGCCCAATAGTATTTCATATGCCATATTTACTTGAGTAGGTACACAGCACAGCAAGAACAATCCCGGTCCCACCAAAGGACAAAGAACTATCAAGGGATAGTTAAAAAAAGCGCTAGGAATTAATGGCTTAGAAGGCTAATGAAATAGGAGTTTCAAATGATCCAGGTAATTCTTACTACAAATTATTACTGTTTAGAAAACAGTCTTAACCTACTGTAATAACTTTGTCATACCACACTGTTACAAGAAAGCCTTTCATCAGATCCAATTAAATCTTGGATGCAGATTCCCTAACAATCACAGGTAGATGTCCCCTGACTGAGCAAATCCCTTCATATGTCCAGCAAGCTTTCTTCTACCAGTCCGTGAGCAAAAGAAGTTGAAGAAAACATACCAAGTGGTTATCTTAACAGCTTTTAATTTATAAAGCAATAGCTAAAACTGAAGCAATGGTTCACAGAGCTCCAACTCAAACACCTTCTCAAAACAGCTGTTCTTAATCTGGGAGTGCTGGATAACCAACATTAGTTTTTCTACCAGAGCTACCCACCTCATAGTTTTCTCGTATCCACAGTCGCCGTTCAAGAAATATCTCTTTTTGATGATCTTCTAGGCTGTCAAACTGAGACTGAGACATTTTCATGTACCTTCGTATGATATACAGCTTCTCTTCCACACCATACTCTTGCCCTTTAATAGTGAAACAATAAATCCACCAAATGCACCAAACTATGTATTTTAACAAGTAAAAAGGAGCAAGAATGATCTGAAACAGAAGGATATCATATATCTTGGGCTTCTGATAACCGCCTTTTATCTCTATTTTATTTTTAATAATGTCTTTGATGATTTCTTCCTCTTCTTCACGAATTTCTTCTTTAGACCGCCTGTTCTTTCCTTTCTCTCTAGTCTTGTTGAGTAAACCTTGTTGCCTGGCAATCTCAGTAGCTTGTATACGGTATTTTGGCACAGTAGCTAGGTAGTTGATAGCTTCATTGTAACTACTCCACCAGCTGAAGAACTGTAATTGAAGAACAGCGAAAGTAAAAGAGGTGTTTTTATACAGACACATTCCTATTTGGAGGTTTGCCAGGAAAAAACATAATGCTGTCATACACCTTTAACCACAATTACATTACAGCAAGGCTAAGAACTGGAAGTAACAGTACTACTTCTGCAGTATTGCAGAAGCTTTAATTGTTTCTCCAAACTTAGTAAGGCACCTGAAAAATAGATAAATAGACATGTGAGTCACAGCAAATATACAGCAATAAGGAATGACAAGCAAACACTGTTGAGATCGGTTTTGTTCACAAGATGGTAGTCTCCTGAAGGTTAATGCTAGGCCACGCCAGACAGAACTCCCTTGGATTTATAAATAAAATAGCTGGTACATGAACATTTCATTACAAAATTGTTACCCATTTAAAATAGTTAACCAAGCATGGATTAAGTTCATTACAATTTCATTAGTCTGACAGGATTCACTTCACAAGATCCAACATCCCTCTCTAAGATCCAGCTACTTTTCTGAATTTCAAAGAGGGGAAAAAAACCTCCAAACAACAAACCAGAAATATAGTGCCTGGGGTGAACATGTCTTACTGGGGCAACTTTTTAAAAAAAGCAGCATTTCACACTGTTCACCAAGACAAACGGCAGACATATACACATTATACAACCTGAACAAAGGTTAAAAAGCAGAAACAACAGAAAGCAAGAGAGGCAAACCAGTTTACATTGAAATTGCAATCACCTTGCAGCTGGACTGCAGGAAAAGTGAGTGTCTCCTCTTACAGCTAAAGAAAGTAGTAAGAGGTGAAATTAAACTGCCACTGGAAGTACCTATGAAGGGAAATTAAGTATTTGGCTGCATACGCCATTGGAATTTATTATTCCAAGCTCTCAAATTCTGATCAACGTATTTGTTTTAAATTCCAGTATCCCACTAAAATGTGAGCTATCTGCACCACAGAATAAGCTGTATCTTCATCTCTTAAACTTTTGGTGTATTTTTAATGGCATTTTGAATTAGTAATCTAAAAAATCTTAAGAAGAGAGTTATGCATCTTCTTCCACTTAAGTATCTGTCAGCAACAGCACAAGCTCATATCTAAAACAGGCTGTTTTCTTGACCTTGGATCTACCACCTTCAGAGCAAGCTCTGCTGAACCAAATTCACTTCTCTCCAGACTTTATCGTGGTGTTTAAAATATGCTGCAATGTAAGATTCACACATTAGTAAATTCCTTATATGCAGTCCTATCATCTGAATGGAGTCTCGAATTTAGTTTGCAATTAGATTGTTCTTTAAAAAGTTATTTATGCAGCTTGACAAACCAACACATGCTTATTGGAGCACTAGTCCTGCCTGTGCTCAGGAACAGGCTATTCTGAGTCTGCCATGAAGAACTAAGTAACTTCCTTAGAAAAGCACTTTTCTAAGAAAAGAAACTTATCTCTACTTTTGCCAAAGGTACCAAGGGCAGTCAAAACTCTACTCAGTAGATCTCAACTTCAGATTTGTTATGGACACCACACAGCAGTTTACCACAGCAGACAGGAGCAGGCCTCCTCACTGACATTGTTTAATACCTGGCACGTTATAAGGGCTGCAGATACTTCTCTTCCCATTCAGAAACTCAATAAGCAGTGTCACATAAATGTGAAATTTTACCTGAAACACAGAGATGGCACACACTGCAACTAGAATCACTATCCTGACATCCACTTTAGGTGCCAATCTCCTGCTATAGTAGTGATAATAATGCCTGTAATACTCTTCAGGATGATCCAACATGTAGTCATAATCTTTACGCATTTCTTCATCCTGCAGTATGAGACAAAAAACACACATAGGTTCAGTCTCCTGTTTTCACTTACTCAGTTATAGCTGTGTTTTACATCTCATTAATGACCATGCTGCTATAGAATTGGCAATAGCCCAACCAGAGTATGAAGCACTGGGGAAAATCTTTGATCCTTTCCTCATATTCTCGATTAATTTGTTCTCACACTCATCTGTGCACAGACATCTGACATACATGGTCTTAAATGCGTAAACACACTGCATGAAGATATTTAATACTGAAATAAAGACAGGCAACTGAAATCCACATAATAAGTATTTTTAACTTCAGTTAACTTCAGTCCAGATAAATTAGAGTTAATAAATATGGCTCAGGAAAAGCTTTTCAGATGAAGAACCTATTAAGAGATTTTTACACAAATCTTTTAGAATTAGCTTACAGGACTGGAATCTACCCAATGGAAGGCCATTTCAAAACCTCATTGTTCTCATTTTCTCAGAGTTTCTCATTTTCACCCATGTAATTAAGAGATGAAAAAATTGAATTTTGTCAGTCTCAACTGCATTCATTTTCTATCTCAAAAAAAAGTTCTTTTTCTCCTCCCTTGCAGCCTTGAAACACTCAAGAGGTCATTCTTCCATTCCTGAGTTTCATCTTTGCCAAGCCACACATATTTTGCCCTGAGATGTCACATGCTACTCCAAGTCACTGTTAGTTTTTTGTTGAAAGATATGCGTTCAAGATAAAGCCTAGTTGGTTCATTTTAAATACGGAGGAACTGTCAAGAGGACTGTATCCTCCCCCCTGCACTCTTGGGCTGGCTACTGAAGGATTTTGTGGTTTTCTTTTTTCCCCCTCCCTGACTGCTGGTAGGGGGCAAGGCAGCGAAGTGCACACAGAGGGCTGCCGAGCCACCCGCGATGCGCATCGTGGGGTGCACACGCGAGAGGCGCTCTCTCTCTCAGGAGTGCGAGCCGTGCGCGGCCAAGGCCGGGCAGAGCGCCGGTGCTCAAGCCGGATCTTTTGATGGACGCTTCAGACACAGACGCCGCACGTGAGGCTCGGCGGGGATTACGTACCTTTCAGCGTTCTTCTGAAGCCGCGACTTTTCTTCTCGCCACACGCGACCGCGTAACTTCGCTGCCCGTTGCCCAAGACAGGGAAGCGGTAAGCGAGCGGTGCGCGGAGCGCGCCCCAGACGGCCCCGCCCCG